TCTCTATATATTGAAACTCTAACAACTGTTCCAAATGAAATATTTTGAGTGAAAACCACCAATTTTGAATTTAAAGCGGGCACTGTAAGAAATCCGCGAACCGGTATTCTTTATTGAGGTGATAAATATACCTCTACGGAAACGCATTATCAACGTCATTAAAAAGCCATATACGGTTAGTGACTGTATATCACATATGAATAAATGGTCAATGCAATTTGACTGCGCAATTAGCATAATTGCAGTATTAAAAGAAATAATATTGTACCGAATTTATTTCTTGTACGAAATTAAGTCCTATTGCAATTTGCGTAAATTTAATGCATCATTTGGGTTTTTAAATTGATGTTTATCAAAGAACAAATGAACAGTTGATTGAAACAGTAATGCAGCACGTATAGCCGCCCTAAGTTTTATCTATTGCAATTGTCTCCTGATCTTTTTTTAATTTTTGTACACATTAGTATCCTCAACTATTTTAACTAGGCCAACTTATTCATTTTCAAAATCCTCTAGGTCCTCCCTAGAAAATCAAAAAGTCATCCCCTAATAAAGAAAATTATATATTAAATAAATGCACAAGGACACAACAAAATTTCCAATATATTACTGCATTCAACATCAGTATACAACCGTGTTGAAATATAAAATAGATCAAAGCAACCCATAAAACAAAACAAAACAAAATTAGTTGGGTTTATTACTTACTTATTTTCTCCTCAGGATTAATTTCTACAGTTGTCTTCCATGATACACCATAGTTATACCTGTAGCTTGTGGTCCGGTCTGAAGATACATCATCGTTATTCCTGTATTTTGGGGTCTGCTCTGAAGATACGCCATAGTCATCCATTTAGTTTGTGGTCCGGTCTGAAGATACACCATCGTCATTCCTGTATTTTGGGGTCTGCTCTGAATATGCAGCATAGTCATTCCTGTATTTTGGGGTCTGCTCTGAAGACACACCATAGTCGTTCCTGTATTTTGGGGTCTGCTCTGAAGATACATCATAGTCATCCATGTATTTTGGGGTCTGCTCTGTAGATACCGCATAGTCATCCATGTATTTTGTGGTCTGCTCTGAAGATACACAATACTCAAGGTAACAACTAAAAAGTGTCCGTGTATCATCTAAAAAGTGTCCGTGTAACACCCGTTAATGTACTGTTTTTCTATAGCTCTGCTGGGGGCAAAGTCGTACAACGGGTGTTATACGGACACTTTTTAGATGATACACGGTCACTTTTTAGATGATACACGGACACTTTTTAGTTGTTACACGGACACTTTTTATGAATAGAATCACTCGTGCATGATCAGTGAGTTCATGGGCACTTTAAATTTCAATTAGATTTGAACTTTTTGTTTCACCGACATATTTCCTGTCTTTTGTATTAAAATATTTACGTTGGCATCAATAACTATATTTTTTTTCAAACAATTCCAGTGTATTACTATTCATATCAGTACACTAAGGGATTGACTATTTAACTTCAAAAGGGTGGTTATGGTTTTTTCCTAAAAAAATATTCTGATCCCCAATTTTATGAGAAAAATATATTGTGGTCAGGCAGATGACAAAATAATGTTCTGATTCCTGATTTTCCGAATACAGTATATACTAGTCCTAATTTCGAAAAAAAATATTTGGGTGATAGCGTTGAAAAACTAAATAATTTTCTTACTCAGAAAAAAACATACCCCTCTTTTGAAGCTAAATGGGCGGTCCGTAAATGTTTTTTTTTCAATATATGGACATGAATAGTATTCTGGACAATGCTGAAGGTAAAGAAATGCTGGTACCGACGTTTATATTTCAATAAAATACAAGAAATATATATAAAAAAAATCAAATCTAATCAAAAGATAAAATCCCTATCAACTCACCAATAATGCACGATTGTTCCTATAAATAAAAAGTGTCCGTGTAATACATGTTCTAATAGGCAGCAAATCTTGAAGAAAATCATTCAAAAAAATGAAAACAACACGTTATAAATTTCATGCGTCCGAAGCGCTGTTCTGGATTTACCTTCATCAGGAACGCTCAAAGCTGAATATTTGAAAGCCAAGGATGTATAAGAACCTAAACAGTTGAAGAGCTATATAACCAAAAAGGACCTCAAAAATAGCCAAATCCATCTAAGGTTAACTTTGCCTGAGGGAGTTGAAACCTTAGTTTCTTACAATTTCGAAATTTATTAACGGACAATTTTAGAAAGGCTATTTATAAATCATGTCAGTACCGAAGTACTGACTACTGAGTTGATGATACCCTCGGAGACTGATAGTCCACCAGCATTCAACTTATGTCACCAATTTTGGACGGTAAGCTGCCATTGGATCATATTGTGACACGTGTTTAATCCTGATCAACACTATTAAGGACATAAAAACCTATAAGCATGAAAATTTTTAAAGAAATCCAAAATATATGCCTATATATATCTAATAACAAGACAAAATCGATTTTTTCATAACATTTCATTCCCTAATGAAATAGGAAATTCATTTCTTTTATACACTTTTATTGTTATTGAATTCATATATATTTAATTCATATATTTGGGAGCAAACGTACGATTTTTATTATTTTTTAAGGGGGAATGGGGGAATGGAATGGCACATCCTGCATTTTTTCAACAAAATAAGGATCAAGCCTGTTTATCTTAAATTTATTTTAACCCCCCCCCGACCTTTTTCTGTTTTTCCCCAAATAAAAATCAGATATTAGCTTGCTTACCTCTGAAATCAAATCTTTTTCATACATTACTTACTTGCGAAGTTGCATTTTAAAAAGTCTCAAATGTGTACGACATTCATCTTTTACTTGACATGGTTCTTTTTTATAAAATTATTAGATTCTTGAATTTCTTGAGAAAAAAACTCTCGGCTGAAGGGAAGTGAAAAAAAAAGTTTGTTTAAACTGTAACTTACATTAACTGGTATATGGCCATTTAAGTTTATAATCTGCTTAATTTTGCTACCTCTTCTAAATGCAAAATGCACTACTTCTTTCTTGTCGTACAAGTCAGATACAAGACAAAAGTAACAAACAAACAGGCAGGAAACAAACTGCCGTATAGTTCTTCTGCACTTGTAGTCAGGTCAAGGTCCTCGGCTATCGCCTCGGACCTTCACCTGACTACTCGTGCAGAAAAATTATCCGGCAACGGTTGTTACCGGCCTGTTTCTTTGTTACCTTTGTATTGTATCTAATACTTAACGGTCAACATCGCGAACTGGTTGATCGATACGATATATCCAGGTCATGCGATTCCCTCGGTTTTTGTTTGTTACCTGTGTTTGTATTCGTAATCGATTTATAAATGAGATTTGAACGTCAGAAAGCTGCCTATATTTAAATGATTAGTCAGGCATATGGCAAAATGCTCGGTACTTTATTCATGAGATTGTATCACAACTTGCCCTTTTAATTTCCTTTAATGTGGCGTTCACACAGTGCCGATTATGGCTCCCGTTTGAGATCAGACAGCGCTAAGACACGAAAAGTGAAAAAGTCGGATTACTATCCTAAATGATCTGGAATGTCCTATCATTGTCTGAACGCAGTCGTATACGTTCGTAATAAATTCCTTCGTATCGGGAATGGTCCGGAGAGGTCGGCCAAGCACCCCGATAGTTAGGTGCGTCCCGTAATATTCGGGGAAACTCAGCCGATTTTGTCTAGTCGGATTACAACCGTGACTATGTCGTGACAGATTCTGCTGTATCGGATCAAATCGTAACAATGTTCTGTGTTTTCTGGACGGTGTTCTGTGAAACGGACATGATCTGGAGAAATTTTTGATTGCTGTTTTTTTGCCGATTGAGTCCAGATTGCATCCAGATCTTGCCGATTGCGAACCGTCTTTGCCGAAACCGTTCCGGAACAGTCCCGTTTTTAACACGAAATTCGGCAATGGTATCCACGCCAGAGTCCCGACAATTACAGAACACAATACGACTGAGTCCAGACAAAGCCATTTGCAATGCGGTACAGCAGACTGTGATAGGATTGCGTTCCGACAGTACCTGATCATCCCGAATATGGCGACGGTTTTCTAACGGCTATCCTCCGTTAGCGTCGGTTCACTGTCTGGTCACTGTCTGATCTCTGTCGGATCACATTCGGTAGAATCAGGACGCTGTCGGGACAGATTCGGTCGTTTTTAACCATGCGAAAGACACACATCGGATTAGAATCGGATTGAGAACGGGATAATCGGGACAAATTCGGCTGGAAACAGCTCAATTATGACGCTTCCTGAACAATATCTGATTGTTGTCGTGATTAAATAATTGTTTTTACAAATTTCAATTAAAGTTTGAATTTCCAGCCACGATTCACAGGATCTTGATCAGACTTTTGACAAATTTTAATCGGGAATGGTCCTGTCAAGGACGGCTGTAAAAATCGTGAATGTGTGACCCCGGCTTTATTGGTTGAAGGTTGAAAGTTATAAATCATATATATTAATTTACAGATAATATAGTGTTTTTCCGTTTTGTTTCTAAAACTTACGTGTCCTTTAAAACTTTCTTTGGCGGATATCAAAAAACATTTAATGTAATTCTGAGGAAACTGCTTCAAATTCCAAAGTTTATGCGGCAAAAAACACGAAATCATCAGGTTTTGATAAGATTTTTGTCGAAAAGCCAAGAAATCAGATGAGATAACAGTTATTTACTTTGAAAATTCAACCTCCAACGTGTTTCCATTTATGGAATATTTATATTCTTTTATTTTTCGGGCGTGTATTATCCTATTTAAATGAATGTCGTCAAAAATGAAGTCAATATTGCTGCTAAAAGCAAAATACACACATTTCTGCCATATAACGATTTTAGAGGCATAAATTTTCATATCTGGCATATAAGTATGTCTATTATTACACCTATTTGTAATGTTTCGGATTTTTTATAAGTCAGATAAGAAACGGTCAATGTAAGTGCTCTTATCTTTCTATTACATTACATGATAATATATGGGTGACAAACTCTGTACGTAGTACCTATGACGGAATTGACCCCCAGTCGTATATTAGTGAGAGATTGTAGGACAGAACTACATACGGAAGTTGTCATTAGCTGATTAACAATGAAGGAAGCAATAGTCTTATTGGTATTCTTTGTAGCTTGTCAGGTATATTTTTATAATTAAGTCCTAGTTGTAGTCCAGAAATCTGTCACAGTGGAAAAATGGACAAAAATTGATTTTGAGACTTTTCGGACATTTTGTAAAAGATTTTGTAAAATCACTGTTTTTGTTATATTTGCAATATTTCACTAAGGGATTTTGTTATTTTTATTGTGAAAGGTTTAAGTCAAGTTTAGAAAATTAAGATAATCTAATTTCATGTTTTAATTTGATTTTCAATTAGCGACATTTTACTTCAATTGATCTATTATTCGTAAATGTTTAATGTCTTTAATTTCATGAATAAGTCTGTATGTTCTATTGTTAATTATTATCTATGTGCTAATTTTTCTGTAATCCCTTAATTGAATTTTCTCACTCATTTAGAGAAATATTTGTCAAGTCTATTCTACTAATTTTTTGTTTGTTATAAAAACTGTTATTATTTTGATGTGGCAGATTGGATTTAGTATTACACTGAGCAGTTCCAACTCTGTACAATTGTATTCCATGCTGAACTTATTAAAAAATACATCGCTCTAACCAGAGTCGTCTTTTGTTGCAAGAGTTAGTCCCAGAGTCAGAGGCGGTACAGACTAGTCGTATTGTTTATTGTGTGTGTGTGGTTCCAGGCCAACACATTACCCAGTCACAAGATACACCCAGTTTCTATTTGTGACAAATCCTTGAATCTTTTCGCCAGTTACTATAGTAATGGGAGCAGAGCTTTAATAATGAAATGAAAGAGATAAATAAAAAAAAACACGGAAAATTGTTGGAACATTTATAAGAATAACGTATATAAACGTATATGTTGGGATATACATTAAATAGACAACGACACAAAGCGTCAAGACATGTTTATTATTTCTGTTTTTGTGTATAATTAGTAAGAATTTCAAAGGTCTATTCTTGTACGTATTTGCAATGTATTGGTTTTCTTATCAGTTCGGTAAGAAACGGCCATTATACATGGACTTCGGATTTTGTCGCGTCGATTCTTTTCTGTATATTTTAAAATAATTGACGTTTATGTATTTGAAAAAAACCTGTTAATTCCCTATTTAAATTGATTATTTGCGTCTATACATGACATGTATAGTATAGTTTAAAAGTACTTTTTTCAGGCCATGTTTCTCAACTTGAAACATGATTGCAAGACGAACAACGATTGCCCAAATACACATTGTTGTGTGACTGATTTCCATGGTGACACGTGTTTCCAGTACCAGAACGAATCGCAGCCATGTCATCTAGCTGGACATACTATGCATTTATATAAATGTGGATGCTCAGCTGGTACGTAAAAATTCTATAATATCCATATTCATACTTTCCCTTCATCATGTTTGCTATATAAAGATCTTGTCAGACATCAGATTTGACGCAAGGACCTCCAGCTATATAGATGGTCCATTCCGTATGAAATCTCTGACAAATCTTCACGACACCCAAAAATAGAATGAAATAAACAAACAATTCAAACACAACTTTACTCTCTTACTTGTCCACCAATTTGTACTGTTAGAGCACTAATATTTGCAGACTGTGTTCATGGATAGCTCCGAGTCCTTGTTGGGGTTAGAAATTACGTTTGGTCCTTTTTGGTTTAATCAGTTCTTTCACGTATGTACAAGGTTTGGGAAATATTTAGGTCTCGAGCATCACCGAAAATAGACAATTATTGTCGAAATGTGCATCTGGTGCAGAAAATTTGATACCGTTAATGTTACAATGTATTACTACGACTGAGTCGGAACCTCTGCTGGTTGACTGTTAGTCCATGAAGCTATCACCAGCCCAGAAGACAGGATTTACGTTTGGTCCTTTTTGGTTTCATCAGCTCTTCAAAGTTTGTATTAGTTTTCGAATTTTTAATATTTTGGCCTCGCGAATCACTAAAGAAACATTAATTCTCGAAAGCGAATTTGGTAAATTTGATACCGTTAATGTTATTCCAAATCTTAATAACAAATAAATATACTTTTAAATTAATTCTGTCTTGTTATTGTAGGTTATACATGCCAGGGATTACATATTGATCCAGGACACACACTTCCGGATCCAGACGGCTCTATCCATCATGCTGAAGAATTGCTAGGACAGATTGGATATGGTTTATGTGTCAAGACTTCAAAATAAATAAAAATATGTTAAATATCTGTTTTGTTCAGTCCATCATACGAAATGATTTTTTCTTTTAACAACATTGTCTCCTACACTAAATGTATTGTTACAATTGACATTATATGTTATATCCAATTCCTTTGTTCACCCCTCTCGGAATAATGTTTACTAGAAAAAACCCGCGCGAGCGCTGCTTGAAGACTACTTTAAATGTTTATGGTGATACACAGCTTGGTTCGTGTTTCTCAAACTGTTTTATGCACTGATGCATTATGTTGATAGTTTTTATTATTTTGTCAGTTCTTCTTCCATAGGAGTTTGAATGTCCAATTAGTAGCTTCTATCTCGGTGTTACACAGGTGCTCATAGAACGGAGGAAATGACTCAGAAAAGAAGAAGACAACCTAGAACACTGATGATTAAAACATTTCTCAGTGGTGCTAGTTCAAGTTGAAGTATTTCTTTTTTTTTCCAAAGGTGCGAGTCAAGTTCTGTCTCTGTGTGATACGGGTGCTCCAAGAACGGAGGAAATAACTCAGAGAAGAAGACGATCTAGAACTCGCTGATGATTCAAAACATTTCTTCAGTGGTGCGAGTTTGTAGTATTTTTTTTCGAGTGGTGCGAGTTCTGTCTCTGGTGCTCCGAGAAAGGAGGAATTTATTAAGAGAAGAAGAAAACAATCTAAAGATTAAACACATTTTTTCGAGTTTGTTATATTTTTTCTTTTTTTTTGAGTGGTGCGAGTTTGATAAAGTGATGCAAGTTGTAATAATTAGTGAGAGTGTTTGAGTGGTGCGAGTTGGCCGTGGGCCGAGTTGTCGGGCAGTACGTCGACTGAGCATGCGCGAAAGCGTATAAGACACGGATCGATAACGGTCTCCGAATTTGGATATTTTCTCAAAAAATGGCGTTTTCTGTGGAAAAAAGATTGTTTCAAAGACAAATTTAGGAAGTACAAAACACTACATTTATACGTCATATCACGAATATTTCCGACTTTGTATGGTTTCAGAGGAGTTGCGGCTCAATGAAATAGGTCTCTTCCTTTAGTAGTATAGATCCATATTTTCTTGATTTAAATGATTCAAAATGTTCTATCGCAAAGGAGACATTTTCTTTCCTATAGTACTGCTTTATTTTTTTTTCAAGTATATTTTCCCCGGATTTGTTCCAATTGTCGTTACCATAATCCCGTCCTCCTTTCCTCGATTATGAAATCACCTAATTGGACTTACCACCGAATTTATACTAACCATGAACAACATGACGAGTGCTACTATTTGAGCTAAATTTGCTTACCCTTCTGAAGGACCTAAATTAAATGTCACCACGGTTTTAGATGGGGTCCGTGTACACTGTTGCTCAGTCTTTAGTTTTTGATGGGGTCCGTGTTGCTCAGTATTTAGTTTTTGATGGGGTCCGTGTTGCTCAGTCTTTAGTTTTTGATAGGGTCCGTGTTGCTCTGTCTTTAGATTTTAATAGGGTCCGTGTTGCTCAGTCTTTAGTTTTTGATTGGGTCCGTGTTGCTCAGTCTTTAGTTTTTGATGGGGTCCGTGTTGCTCAGTCTTTAGTTTTTGATAGGGTTCGTGTTGCCCAGTCTTTAGTTTTTGATGGGGTTCGTGTTGCTCAGTCTTTAGTTTTTGATGGGGTCCGTGTTGCTCAGTCCTTAGTTTTTGATGGGGTTCGTGTTGCTCAGTCTTTAGTTTTTGATGTAGTGTTTTGTCGACCATTTTGTCTTTTCGTCGTCTTTTGTTTTTACCATGGCGTTGTCAGTTTTCCTTCGACTTTTGAGTTTTGAATGAACCCTTTATATCTTCCGATCCCTTTTTCAATTGTGTGACTAAATGGCGTTTAAATTAATTTTGCTACAGTGAATATGTTGACAGGGATACCGTTTGGATAGAGACAATATCCCATTTGTTTTGTCACACTAAACTCCAAAATATAAATGAACTAAAATTAAAAGACATACAATACTAACAAAGGCCAGAGGCTCCTGACTTGGGACAGGCGCAAAAATGCGGCGAGGTTAAACATGTTTTATGAGATCTCAACCTCCCCCTATACCTCTAGCCAATGTAGAATAAAGAAACACATAGCAATACGCACAGTAAAACACAGTTTAAAAGAAGTCCGAGTCAGATGTCAGAATAGGTAACAAAAGAAACTAAGCAAAATGACAATGAAACATAAATGTCTGTCGCATTTTCATTTGTAATCTACTTGTACATGTATTTTATCGTTTATCCATGCGTAGTTACTGATTGTGACATTTAAACACGTTTCCAACAACGAAAATATTAATTGAATGAAAATGTATCTTTTTTTACGCTTTGACTGTCTAGAACTGCACAATTATTTTAAATATTCTTTATTACGTTATTCGAGTTAATTGTAAAAGCACTGCATGCATAGTGCTTTTATGCTTGTGCTTTTTTTTAATATTTATTCTGTTTGACTGTTTGATTTGTTTAGCTTTTTTAGTTGCTATTATCTGCTGTGCTTATCATTCTAACTTATCCTCTTTTTCAAGTTGTGCTTTATTTTGCATACTATGCTTTTAACTTTTATATGTCATCTATGGTATCTTACCATGCACTGTATGTTTAATATTGTGTTGTTTTCATGACTTTTGTATGTGTGAATATATTTTGTTATTCGGTCGATTAGAAAAGCTCACTAGAGCTAATGTTTATGTAGTTTATTGAATATCGACTTTAAATAAAACTTTGATTCAAAAAACAAAAACTGCGATCAACCAAACCTTATTTTGATATAAATGATATTTCTGTTTCTTTAGATCTGCATTTGTTTTTGACATGCAAAACCGAAGATCATCATAAAGTAAATAAATATAAAAAAACATAGGAATATCAATAACTTCATTAATTAATAACTACATAAATAAATACAATATGATTGATTGCAGAAAGGTTTACAGAAGAGTTTCCAATATGAATTCTATTACTTTACAGAATCATAGCGTCGTTCAAAAATAATATTTTCAATCAGTTTGGACTAGTGGTTGGTAAGACTGGTCCATGTAGAATTGAATTTTATCCGACTCCAATAAATGAACACCTACAGTATGATTTATATGGTACAGATACAAATTCGTACTCTCTCCGGTTCTGTAAACTATGTACGAGAACTTCTGTAAACCCAAATTCTTGTTTACATTTACCATGGCCGTTTTTACCACATGGTGATAAATTCCTAAAATATGAAACATATCATATATAAACTTTCAAAAATTGGCACAGATTGAAACACTGTATTTATATTTGTATGACTCGTAGAGTTAAGACACATTATAATTATAATGTATAGGTTATCATGTAAATGCGTCCTGCCAAACCCTGCTGTGATATGTCATTTTGATTACTATTACATGTAGTATATGTTTTATCTTTTTCAAGCAAGATCCACATGCGTCATTACTATATGTCACACTGTCCATTTCTTTTTAACTAGTAAAGCACCACATTTCCGAAATATCAAATCTGAATTCGGTTGAAAGTTGAATTTTCAAAACAAAACAGCTTTTTGCAGTCGAAAGTTCATACAACATGTCGTAGGATTATGTATAAGATAACCAATTTTATTTGCTAATTGAAAATTAAGCTGAATAACATCATTTAAGACAGCAGAGAAGATAATTCTGTATTAATTGTTTATTACTCAGACTTAAATATATACTGTAAATTTATGATGTCTCTGTACTGGTCAATGGGTCAGATTTGTCATACCATGGCAGTATTATATTGACAGGTTTCATTTACTTCAATGATCATACTTAATTAAATTGTTGAAATTAGATAACATGTTTTCACGTATAGAGAAATTTCACTAAATGACCAGTGCATGATTGGATTACATCTTTCTTATTGGTCAATGATCTTGCGGGGTCAGCACGAGTTCACATGTAAGTGCGTTGTGGTCACTTCCTTTTATCATTAACTTTTGACGTGTTATCTTGTAATTCTTATCAAACAATTTGTGAAAAATTCCCACTCGCATGCGCATGCCTCCCTTAATTTTATCTTTAGAAGTAGATATGTAGGCAAAGTGTATTGCCTTGACTTGAATGGACTGGACTCTTGGACTCTTGGACTGGACTGGATTGGACTGGACTATAGACTGGACTGGACTCTCACATGTTTATTTTTTTTTAATAACATGCATTTATTTTTTATTTGTTTTTTTTGTTATCTTCTTGTTTATTACGACTGTACTTTATGCTTTTTTTAGGATTTTAATTTATAATCTTGTCTGTCAAAAGAAGTTGTATTTATTGATGACATTCGACCTCCCGAACAGATGTCTTATATCTATTAAGTTACAGATTGGAATGTCATCATCAATTTTATTGTAAAAAAGCAGATAGAAAGACAGAAAATTCATCCTGTATTATGTATTGCTATGTGTTTAATACATGTATCCCCTTATTCTATTTTATTTCCGAAATCTTATAATGTGTATTCCACTTAAAAGGCCCATGGTGAAAAATGTATTTTGATTAAAATTGAGACACAAATAATTTTGTTAAGCATATACTGTATAGTTATGCATATGATGAGCTTATTTCATTATCTTAAACAACTTCCAGACCAGAGTCATAAGAACTTGTGTAAAAGCATTAATAAAACAGATTATATAAAAAATTAACAGGCAAATATTCTTAGTGGGTTACATATAAACATATCTGTACTGTATTGATAGTTTTCCAAGTTCAAAACATTTAATAATATATATGTTCCAATAACTTTCAATACCTCTAGGTTTTCTTGAATAAAAAGCCAATTGAACTTAGCACTTCTAAATTGTCTGACAATGTATGCAAACACAATTGAAAGAAAATGCTATGATCCGAAAAACAGTACCTCCTAGGATCAGCCTGTGACAATCAAAATTAAAAAAAACAAACAATAGCTTGATGAAACATGATACAGGAAATCATAACAAACCTCTGAAACTGAATGACAAAAAAAAAAGAAAAAAAAAGATGTATAGCTTATGTTTTTCATTGTGCATGGGATTAAAATATAAACATGTCCCCTAACTAAATACTCATGTAATATTGATACAGTTAAAAGAGTAGAGAAGACATAATTAAAAAAGTTATAGCTTTTAAATTTTAACTTTGAAATTTGTGTCTCTCAATTATTAAATATAACTTTTCTCACCATGGGCCCTTAAATGGAATAAATATTTTTATTTTTATCTTTATGTGAAGCAATAATGAATTTCAGAAATAAAATAGAATAAGGTGTTAAATGTATTATACGCATAACAATACACAATTCCGGATAATTTATCTGTCCTGCTATCAGCTTTATACAATAAAATTGATGCTGACATTCCAATCTGTACCTAAATTGATATAAAACATCTGTTCTAAGGTCGATTGTCAATAATTAATACAACTTCTTTTGACAGACAAGATTATAAATCAAAAATTCTATTATTAAATAAAAAAGCATAAAGTACAGTCGTAATAAAAAAGAAGATAACAAATTAACCAATAAAAAATAAATGCATGTTATTAAAAAAATAAACATGCGAGAGTCCATTCCAGCCTATAGTTCAGTCCAATCCAGTCCAGTCCAGTCCAGTCAAAGATGTTAGTTTGTACAAATTAAATTTGTACAGGGTTTTTGTACACGTTATAAGTTTTTTGACACACACCTTTTTGCACCGGGTGATAAAAGTGTATCTTCTAACATTTTTCAGCTTAATGTCTTAAATTCAAATTTATATACTTCAACCTAACATTTAGTGCTATTCTCCTTGTCCTAAAACTGTGAATAAGAACACCTGAATGGTTTAAATTCTATTTTCATTTGTCTCCTCATACCAAAGGCATATCCATAAAAAGTCTTTTTGTGTTCTTATAATGTTATTTGTAGCAATGCTCAGTACTAGACTGTGTCATGTAGTCATGGAAATATGACAGAAATATGCGAAACAAAAGACTGTGTGCTTTTATCATCCATGTGTGTTACGCGGTTCATAAAACACTGATAACTTGTACAAAAATTCTGTACAATTTATAATTTGTACAACATTACGATTTGTACACAACATATATATATGTTTATTAGTGGGGCAGATTTTCCTCCCCACCTTTGCTATTCTTTGTCATTTATTCAATTGGTATGATTTTAGTTGATGTAATTTCATATTAATTATGAACTTTTATGTCAAATGTTTCATTTGCAAAATGTATTTTTTGGCATTTTATGATTTTGAATAAATGACCCTTTTTCGTCAATTTAGTTTTTATATCATATAGCAAAACAAGCTCAGACTCTGGCCTGTGTATACATTAGTATGTTTATGGTATCTAACTGTCTTAAAACTAGACTTTGCCCAAGAGACAAATGTATGTTATAAGACGAATAAAGTTCCACAACCTTGGAATACAAATTTCGAAAGTCTACTTTATTAAAAAGTAATCTTCTTTTACTCGACCTTCACATAAAATGAAAACAACACGTTATGAATGTCATGCGTCCGAAGCGCTTTTCTGGATTTATCTTCATCAGGAACGCTCAAAGTCAAATATTTGAGTTCTTAAAGCATATACTTGAGTTATTGTCGAATTTCCACAAGTTTGCAAAGACAAAACTAAAAATATCCAAAGCCAAAAGAACGTTTTTTTATAGATCCGTGAAGCTGCCGCCAGACACAGCTAAAAAGAGACCTCCATTTAACTCAAGATTAAATAGGTATACTTAAATTATAATGTTTTTTTTCCCAGATACATGTACTTACATACATTCGCCTTCAACCCGAAACTGTTCATTTATTAACGAAACTCCACCAAACATTGAACTTGTCACAGGAATTCTCGTTATCCCATCATGTACAAAAGGTTCGTTATCTGCAACGATTTTTAAATTCCTGAAACGGAAAGGGAAAAAGGGACATTTAAGACAACAAGTTTGTTCTTCGATTTTGAAAGCAATGAAATTATCAGTGATTTTTTACATGTTTCTAACTCACGTTTCACAGCAACGAGAACTGGGACGAACTTTAGATGATTCATTCGAACCAACTCCAAAGTCATCGAATCCAGTAGTACCAATTACTTGTTCATTTGATGTGTCACACTCCATATTATGTTCCATTGTATTGCTGAATAAACCTTTATAATTTCTGTTAAGTAGCCTTTCTTGTCTGTCAATATTACATCTATCACTATAGCAATCACAATAAAGGCACGATTCCATTGTACCTACAGGACAGGTGCGAGGTCGTGTGTTCTGGTGTCTATCGTCCCCGCTTATATGTCCATCAAAACCATAAAACTGTCCCGTGTGTCCTTGAACAGCTTCACACTTCATGATAATTATATAAATGGCAATGAGAATCATTTTTATTTCTCTGTTGTCTTATAGTAAATAAATTTACACATTCGAAAGTTTACATAATTTCTTCCAAATATTGTCCAGTTTTAATATATTTCATACAAACATTATAAACTCTTGTTATGCGAGAAAGTATGAACTAAGTGGACTAAAGGCCCCAGCTGTCAAAGGATATTACATCCGATACATTAATATAATTATCTACACATCTTTTGAAGAATTATTATTTTTCAGCGATATGCATTCAGAAAAGGTTCGTATGTTATCGTAATCTCTCCTGAAAAATAATAAGAAATCGTCTTAGAACAGATTGTATAGCTATAAATTTAAGTTAGTTGATCATCTTAACCAATACGAAACGAGAAATGATTGATTCATGTCACCAGCAGCATTGTCACATTTGGTATTTTAAGTCCCTATTAATTTCGAATTAGAAATTATAAACTATATCTTCCGTTGACGTTATATTTCACCGACTATATAGAAAATGTTGTATTATATGTATTCCTTAAACATATAAAAACTAATGACAAGGAATGTTATAATTGATACAACTATAAATAATACATGAACATTTAAACTGGAAGGACGAATTTTTTGTATGTAGACTAAGTAATGATATTTCTTGCTGGATTAATTCTCTAAATGGTATAGTTTACTTGTATAAATAACGGCTTAGGAAAATAAAGAATCTAATGTAATGCTCTTCTAGTTGTCCTATAATTCTTACAACAAAATAACATCATAGGTACTTGTTTCACAATGTATGTGTTGCAGTATCATGCGTCTTCATATTTTATGATTATATAGAAGAAAAATCATTAACTAACAATGTTTCATAGAAAATAGGCTTTTCGTGATTCGTGATTATATTTATGTTATTATAAAAGAAGATTTACATATATTTGTTAAGTTATTTAATTAACCTATTTCCATAAACATCTTGTATTTTACCGGGATATTTCTTTGGCTGAAACATACACAGACAATGCTGAAAAGGACGGAAAAACATATTATATTAATAATTTATACTTTATTGGAGCAAACATCCGGTCAAACGCTAGGTTTTGGTGAAAATAAACTTCACCAGGAATTACATAAAAGTACACGCGTTCGAGTACGTTCGTGTCATTTAGCGTCATCTGCCGAATGTCAGTATTGTGATTGTTATGGTGACTCTTGCTCAACAAACAAAGCTGAAAGAAAGATAGATCATTTTTACAACGGAATATTTGTGACCAAGAATGAATTTCGAAAAATGTTACAATTAGGGTCAAACCATAAAAAAGTTGGCAAAATAAAGAAATTTAAGACTGCTGTTTCCTCCAGGAGTTGTGAACACAAATTTAGAGGAGGCGGTTGTTGTGAAACGTAAGTATTTGTGTCGTTTTATCAATTGTTGCTTCGGTCTTTTTCACTAAAAAATCTATCACCCTGTTTAGCCTTTTTTAAAATACCACAACACAAATCTACGAAGAAAGAAAAAGTTGTACAGGACAGTATCATTTTGATCCACCATTAGAATCAAAATGTATTTGGTACAAATCCATATAAAGTACTTCTTAACATATGAACTGAAACAATTTAGATGATGAATACCATTTTGAATATACCGAACCTCAATTAGAATCTAGAGGAAAATACACGAATGAAGCATATCAAATAAATACAAATCAAATGTACACAGGAACAAAAAGAACTATACGAACAAAGTCCACATAAATCTAAAGTTTTTTGTCTATACAAACATCAATCGAACAGATACTGATAAAACAAATTTAAGATCGTATTCTTTTTTCATCAAGAGTTATATTTGAAAATGTTTTAATTTTTTTTAATTTTTAGGGTTATTACACATATTGAGCCCTTGCAAATTGAGTTAGATGGCGTTATAAGGACAGTTGTAAGAGCCGATGGGAACACACATCTTATATCAAATCAAACTATTGAAACTGGCAAATGCCGCAGGTGAGAATAGAAATATACGAATTGGCCTTCCATTCTGCATGAAAAAATAGAAGTACAATTATAATACACATTTCACATTCAATTTTAACAAACTAGGGTTACTTCTGAAACTACATTGATATTATTATAATGTTTATCTATAAAAAAAAAAGGTTAATTGTATATTAACAAGAACACATTAAATAATGAAATCAATTAAGAAAATTCGGCAAAGCAGGTCGAAAGTAAAAGATCAGAAGATACCAAAGGTTCAATAAAAACCATACCATCAAAGAAATAGACAACACTCTGGAAAAACAATATAAGAGGTGAAAACACAAACAACACGTCACAAAACATTCCATAAAATAAAAAAACCCTGCAATGAATTTGATGCTCTGAAAAGTTCCTGCCCCACTTATGTCGGGAATGTCAAAAACAAAAAAAGACCGGCGGGATTGTGGCTACGACAAATGGATTGTCCTTGGTTATATGTGACACAGATATTCACTCGAGTCAACCAATTCAAAGAGGCATCCAAAAAACTTTCCAACAGAAGACTTTAACTTTATTATAAAGAATCAATTCCTTCTTTGTAAACAAAGTCCTGCTTTGTTTAAAAAAAAGAATGGCCAACGTAGATACAAGTATCTTGTCTTGGGGAGGGATAAATCATACTGATTCAAACAAAAAATTCTCTAAAACTTACATTATCAAGATGCTTGATTTCTTGATTGACAACATATGTGTTACGTTTGGAGGACGTGTTTTCAATAAACAATCTGCATTGACACGGGAACCAACTGTGCCCTCTTCTTGCCGACTTGTTCCTTTATTCATATGAGGCTGACTTCATACAGGACCTTCTTAGGAAGAAAGAAAAGAAGTTAGCAGTATCCTTTAACTTTACTTTCCGCTATATAGATGATGTTCTCTCACTAAATAATTAAAAATTTGGTGACTGTGTTGAACGCATCTATCTCATCGAACTTGAGATAAAGGATACATCAGATACAGTTAAGTCTGCCTCATATCTTGACTTACATCTAGAAATTGATAATGAGGGTCGATTGAAAACAAAACTGTACGACAAAAGAGATGATTTCAGTTTCCCAATTGTGAACTTTCCATTTATATGTATCAACATTCCAGCAGCGCCTGCATACGGAGTATATATCTCCCGTTTGATACGATATTCCAGGGCTTGTATTTCCTATCATGATTTCCTTGATAGAGGGTTGCTACTCACAAGGAAGCTACTAAACCAAGAGTTCCAACTGGTGAAGTTGAAATAATCCCTTCGTAAATTTTATGGACGCTATCATGAGTTGGTTGACCGTTATGGGATATCCGTTTCACATATGATAGCGGATATGTTCCAAACCTTTCCGGAGCACCTGAGATCAACCCCAGTTTTTGGTGGGGTTCGTGTTGCTCAGTCTTTCGTTTTCTGTGTTATGTTTTGTGTACTTTTGTTTATCTGTTTGTCTTTTTCTTTTTTAGCCATGGCGTTGTCAGTTTATTTTCGACTAATGAGTTTGAATGTCCCTTTGGTATCTTTCACCTCTCTTTTGTAAACAGTAACCCCATATCATTTAAAACACAAATCCTGGAATATCACATAAGCTGGTTGATATATGCTCCACTGTCCATATGCAGGTGTTTCTGGAATGTTGTTCCATAGAAATGGAATGTTCACAATGGAAAATTGAAGTCATCTTGTTTTGTCGCAAAGTTTATTTCTCAATTGACTGTCACTATTTCTATGTGAAATGATTGATTGATTATCCGTGTGCCACACTCAAGCACAAAAAGACAGGAAACACAAAGCTGATGAATGAACATGTCAAAATACAGGTGTCTATACAACAAGTAAAACACTTTAACCAAAATTCAGGGATTAAATATGGACTGCTATTAAAAATAGAGGAATTTTTTTAGAAGGACAGACATTTTACCATGCAATAGGTTACCAAAGAACCCGAAAAAAAAAACGGCCAAATTGACGCATCCTTACTGACCATACTAAGAGAGACATTCCCTTTAGCTGTGTGTGATGTATGAATACACAGATGCCACTGAGTGAAAATCAACCCAAGCTAATTTAAAGGAGAAGCCCATACGCTTTCAATGTAAAGTAACTCTTGTAATCTTAGTCAATAACTATTGAAGAGCCTACTTAATTGATAATTTGTTTAATCTGTTCTTATTCTGAATGTGCACAAACTATTTGCCATGGAAGTTTAGTTGTGGGGCGCTTTACATTTGCGCGCATTTGGGGATTATGTTTTTTACGTTTGCGCTCATTTATTTTACAGGTAACACAAGTAAAAATGAAGATAATAAATTTTTTGATAGTTATTAGTTTTCAAACATATTTATAATTTGAAATTATATACTTTTCATATTGAATTATAAAAAACTGCATACGGAAAAGCAATCAGCGAATAAGAGTACGGGAAGACAATAACTCAATAGCAGTACATTTCTAGAGATTTTTAAAAGATATCAGATTTTCTTTTAAAAGATAGTCGATGTATACGTGTTTAATAGAAAAAAATACTCATTCAAGTATATAAAGCATATTCAACTGGTTTTGTTTTTAATTTGAAGTATCAATGACTTTAACTGATCATGAGAAATCCCGTTACGGCGCTTTAGGCATACATGCATCTGAATTGCGAATATTGAAGCGTGAATAAGATTCTCTTTTCTACAATTTTTACCGAATGATGATCGCTTAAGTAAATAAGCAAGTCAGTTTGTTAAGTGGCATCAACGGACAAACATGGAGTTTCGATTGTCAGATGAAGAAATTGACCGAATTCATTTTCTTCAAGCTTGAAATATCCAGCACGTCCCGACATACAAAATCAGTATTTTTACTCCTCAGATTTGCTTTGTTTTTACATATTTTTCTGAATATATTCCCATGACTTAGTGCTTGTGCATAATAAAATGGACTTATCAAGATCGAAACCAACTTCCACTTTCTCGTTGGCGACTTTAATTGGTCATCGCGAAAGTCATCAAAACCTTGTTAAACCTTATTTGTTCAGTCCATTCACATAAAATAAATGTAAAATGTTTACACATACTGGAATAATGAACTACATAGTTTGATATATTCAAAACTATCCGCCCGTCACATTTTCATATACAATTCAAAATAAAACTTTTCGAAACTGTATCTCTGTTTACAAGAATGATATATGATATACTATGAATGAGCGAATTTAACCCTATACCGCATAGCAAGATATACTTTAAAGGACAAAAACAAAATGTAAAACAATTCAATCAAGAAAACCAACGGCTGATTTATGTACAAAACACTTCAGGGAACGACCATTTAACTTCAAGGTGGGGGAGGGGTTATAGTTTTTCCCTCAAAAAATATTCTGATCCCCAATTTGATGAAAAAAAATTGTAATACCTTAAAGTGTTAAATTTTGAAAAAAATAATTTGATTGACAGCCATACCCCACCCCCTTTTTGAAGTTAAATGGTTGATCCCTTATTGTTTTTCACCTTCGGTCAGTACATGTACATTATTTTTTTTCCGTAGATGTTCAGAAAGTACTTGTCGATGTGGACCAAACAATGAAAGCAGGTGTATGGAAGATAAGTTTATTACTCATATTCTTGTCTTTGCAGAAAATAACAATTTTGAATATGAATTTATTTTTTATGAATTTAACAGATTCTGCAGGTGTGTTCATACATGAGTGTTCTTCATAGATCGATTATTGTAGTGTATGAGTGTTCTTCATAGATCGATTATTGTAGGGTATGAGTGTTCTTCATAGATCGATTATTGTAGGGTTTGTATTTTAGTTTTATTATCTACAAATGAGTACTATCTTATGTAAACTTATCTTGCAATTCTACTTTATTGTCAATAATTCCAGGTTTTAAGATGAAATGATGCAAACTGTAATACAGTTATGACAATAAACTGTGAATTAAATTCAGTAATATTTATTTTGTTTTCGATTTTTTGTTTCTTGTTAACAAGAAAAACTAAAAACCCCATTAGACCTTTCCGAATCCATATACTCATTTTACAAGTATTTAGCAATGTGAACCCCAAATCTCATGTATATTGTCTGGACTTGAAAAGGATTGTGACTGGCCATGGAGGCACTGAACAAGGTAATGTAAACCCTCTAAAGGATTATTTGGGCTCGCCCCTCAGTCATGTTTCATTGACTTTGACTCTTATGCAGGTTTAATTGTTAAAGTTTGTGATTAGTTAAGGCAACCTTTGTTTACCCATCTTCAAATCTCACAAATCGATTAGGAAGACTAATCAAGTTAACAAACAAAAACTGAGTTATAGAATGAACTCCAAAAAAGAGCGAGACCAGGTGCATCGACAATCTACAGGGTAAGCGTCTCCTGCTATGTATGCATCACCCGCCATGTGATTCCACGCCCAGTCAAGATCAGTTATACATTAACGGCTAAGTTAATGTTATTTGGTATGTAGTTGTACAAGCATCAGTCCATCTCATTTCTTTACAATGTCCACGCGCGTTCATTGACCTGGCAACTTTTGCATAGGTTACTTGTTTAAGTATGTAATTAAGTCAGTTTAAGGGATCCACTTACGATGCGTCAATTATAGTATTTTAGCACATACTTACAACTTCTCGTCGAATCAAATTGCTTATATTTGCCTTCTAATTTTCATAGTACATACTTTTTCCGTGTACTAAGTAACTTCGCATGAATGACCACGAGGGTAAGATTTCATTGTATCGTAATCAAGATATTTAAAACAAAAATTGCCACTGGCTATTTTGAAATAAAATGCTGTGTTCCAAATTAAATTAAATAGTTTGTAATTAGTTTTCACGTTGATTTTTAAATATCCTGCTATTAAAATCTTTGGATCTAAAAAATGTTTTTGACAATTGCAAATTTCTTTCATTTAAATAAAGGGTAATACATGTGGTTCTTTATACCTTGATTAGAGTACAACGATATCTTAAAATTATGATAATGTATCATCCATGCAATTACTTTGTACACAAAAAAGTGTGTAATATGAAACCTTGTGAAGGGGAATTAAAGCAACTTAGTAATAATTTTTCAAACTTTCTTAAGGAAGGTGATCTATATATTTCGTCATGAATTGATTGATACATTGATTATTTGTTGCTTAATGTCCAGTGGCAAATATTTCATGCATGTTCAGGACGATGTCATGAATTGAAAAACTGATTATGTCTGAAGATAATGTGCCACCTATATATATACATCTAAACATATTCTGATAAATTTTTTAGTTTTTATTTAAATTTGAAATAATAAAAAAAAACCACACACACAAAACCTATAATCTCTGATCTATTGGTAGTTGCTTTTTAATGCCTATCTGCTAGACTATATCTATGGGGGAAAACTATCTATATGTTTCAAATTTAATATAGCTTTAGTTTTACTGTGAAATTAAAAAATGTTTTCAAAACATGTAAAGCTTCCACTGCAATTTAATTATTGCCTGCTTTTGGTCAATTTATTTGGTCATCTTACTATGTAAGAAGAACATGTATAGTAAGACACCGCTTTATATCAATATACATACTTACACCAGCAGCTACCATCTTTTCATTCTGGAATCAAGGGCTTTTTGAAATCACATATTTTACAATGATACTAGTGAGTAGATTTAAAAAACTTCGTTAATGAGCTCCGTTTTACAAACACCTGTGATACAAGTAGTCAGCCAAAATAAACTATCAATATACCAATTAAAAGATTACTCGAGTTGTAAATATGTGCTAAATTGGATAGTCTATGGAAAGGTATATACTATGAAATTAAGAGCTCGGGGCAAGCCCCTCGCTCTAAATTTCATAGTATATACCTTTCCATAGACTAACCTAGGCGTCATTGACATATCTCATTTCCATGCAGATTATTTAATCATACACCGTCAGTCATGGTCTATTGACTAAATGCTTTGAATATTAATTTCAACAATTGCATTATACAATAAGTTTATAGAGAGGCGAGACATTTCTCTTTGTCAATAGTTTATTGTACATTATGATTACGTACTTAGTGCTTTAAGATTATTGTCCAATTTATTATCAGGTCATTTTCTGTGTACATCCACTATTTATTGAAACCATTTGATAACCTTTGCTTTCGCTATGTCTTTATATCTTCCGCTTGAAGAACACCATATGAATAATGGTAGTTTGGCCCACTTCACTCAAAGGAAATACGATATGCTTTCTACAATCCTAGAGGAATAAATTTGCTGGATTTTCAGTAAAACGCATAGCTCAAACTGAAAGACGATTTTTAAGATTGTGCATATTGTTAACTCGCATTAGCATATAACCTCTTTAAAAATCATATGACCTTTTTGCGTTTATCTACAAATACCTTTGTATGCACCTTTAAATTAAAATTCTCCCAAACTGAGATAATTTCAGAATATATCTTTGACGTCGAAATTATTTTATAATTGCGTCAATACCGTGAAATCAACCAGTCCACACTGATAAACAGCTCTTCAATAAAATTAAAACAGTTAAGCTATATAAAACGTATATCCATAGACTAGGCAGGTATTACTGTTTCCAAAAAATCAACAAATTGTTTTATAATATTTTGCAATAGTCTAAAATAAGGACAAAAGTCAAAAATATGCGTGTCAGACGTAACAGACTATACGCGTAATAACTTTTACAGGGGTGTTTGTGCTCTTCGAAACAGTGAAAAATCCGCGAAAATTCGCATGAATAATGTGTGTCATGTATATAGTATTACGTAATTACTGAATTTGCGTTGATGCAAAGGCCAAAGCTATTTTTTTTTGCAAAAAAGGCCCCGAAATGACAAATGTAAAACATTTCAAACGAGAAAACTAACGGCACAGTTACGAATATAGTCCCAAGTGTGGACAGTGTATAACTTGCAAATTGTTTTCATACATTTTCCAAATTTATTTCTTTATATTTTATGTATGAAATATTAAGTAGGGGGATGAAATTACATGTTAAAAAAATTTGGGTGATGAATTTTTATGTAAAGTAGTGATTTGGTCAGTTAAAAAAGGTCAGAAATTAGTATGCCTGAAGCTGTCAAACTGAATTATAGACCCCCTTAACATAGAATTGTCTATATTTTGAGTTAGAGCTGGTAGACTTTTCTATAATTTTGATATTATTTGTCCCAAAAGTAGTACAATACACTGTAAAAATCTTTTTGAGATAGAGCAGGTGCGATTTTTTTAAATTTTAATTTATTGTCTAAAAGAAATGCACTACGAAATAACTGTGTTCTCGGGCCGCCTGATTTATGTACAAAATAATGAACGAAAAACAAATATGATATACAGCAACAAACGACAACCACTGAATTACAGGCTCCTGACTAGGGACAGGCACATACAGAATGTGGCGGGGTTAAACTAGTTTGAAGGCGCGTCAACCCTCCCCTAACCTGGGACAGTGGTGTAACAGTACAACATAAGAACAAACTATAAAAATCAGTTGAAAAGGGCTTAACTCATCAAATCGATACAAAGCAGAAATACATCTCAACATAAATAGATTGGAAACAGTGTCGTCAGATCATTAAAGACGCTCTTGCTCTGTCTGTCTACTGTAAAAATTGGTATTAACGTGAAAAATCTGATAAAAAATCTCTAGACAGTTATTTGAATAAAATTATGAATACTGTTAATATTCGTATATCTCATTTTGAAAACAATTCTGAAATTAGTAATAGGGTCCATGATATTCCCATTTCCAGAATAAAAAATAAACTCCAAGTACTCGCAAAGCGGTTTGTGTTCGTACCGGCAGACAAAGCAGCAAATAATGTAGTGGTGGTGTGACGCATATACTACACGGAAGTTCTCCAAAACGAAATTACAAATTCATCTACATTCAGGTCCGTACGCTCCACAGAGAGTCAAATTGTAAACAAGCATATCACTGCCACTACCCAGCTTAAAGCCTCTTCCGAACATTTGAAAGTCCCTACTATGTACTGGTTACCTAAATTGCACAAAAAAACATTTAAATTCCGTTTCATCTCCGCATCTAGTAAGTGTTCTACTACTAATCTATCAGTGCTTCTAACTACCTCCCTTACTACTATCAAAGAACTTGTTATTAACTTTTGTAATAAAGCTTATGAAAATAATGGTATTAATTATTTTTGGAGTGTTAAAAATTCTTTAGAGGTTTTAGATAAAATACATGCTTTTGATGGTCCTTTTAATTCTGTTGACAGTTATGATTTTTCTACTCTCTATACTACACTTCCACAAAATCTTATCAAGAAAAAGTTTTCATATTTAATTAAATGGTCTTTTGAAAAATCTCATTACAAATTTATTTGCTGTAACTCGTTTAAAGCCTTTTTCTGTAACGAAAAAGGAAAGTATGCTAGATACACTTACTGGAAATGTGAAGATATGATTGAAGCTTGAAATTTTCTCCTGGACAACATATATGTACGTTTCGACGATAGAGTGTATCGACAAGTAGTAGGTATTCCTATGGGCACTAACTGCGCCCCTTTAATAGCAGATTTATTCCTGTATTGCTATGAATCTCAGTTTATGACCAAACTCAGTAAAGACACGTCATTGTTACATTTGGTTGATACATTCAACAATACCTTCCGTTATCTAGATGATATTTTTTCGTTAAATAATCCAGAGTTCTCTAAATATACTACCGAAATTTACCCAATAAAACTTACTTTAACTAAATCTAACATAAACAGCAGTAGTTGTCCTTTTCTGGATTTGGACATTTCAATCTCTAAAGGAAAACTCCATACGAAAATTTACGACAAAAGAGACGATTTTTCATTCCCTATTGTTAATTTTCCTTTTTTAAGACGGCGATGTTCCTTTGGCTCCATCATACGGTGTTTATATA